TGCATGTTGTATCTTTTTCCATCCTTTTAGTTTCAGCTTATTTTGTTTTATTTAAAATATATGAAGCTAGGATCATGCTCAGCAAAATAAGTCAGAAAGAAAAAGAAAAATACCGGATGGTCTCACTCATAGCAGGAATTTAGAAAACCTAAATAAGGGACCAGGAAAAAGACTAATTAATACAAAGTAAAAATAAAAATCAACAAGCAACTAAAACCAGAGACATATCACCTGGGGGGGAGGGGAGGGGAGGGAAGTGGAGAGGAAGGTCTAGGGTCAAAATGGGGGGGTGGTGCAATTGTATGGGGAATATAACCAAAATGAAAATGCATACATTGTGCAAAAATGAAAAATGATGTAAGAATTATATAAAATAAAATATTAATAAAAATATACTGCCTGTTCTGTTCCCCACTCTGTCTCTGGTAAATTCTCTCACCCTCCCGTACCTCACCTGTACCCCAGTTCTTGTTTAAATAAATAAATCTTTAAAAAAAAAAAATATATATATATATATATGTGAAGCTAGGGTTTGCTTTAATAAACTCTGATCATTTCTGCCTATGCATTGGAGTGTTTAGGCCATTTATATTTATACATCTTTTAGGCTGTTTAAGATTGTCTTGCAGCCCCTTGAGTCTCTTTCCAATTTCATTTATTCATTTTTTTTCTCTTTACTTGTCAGATTGATTTGTATTCTGGTTAAGAGACTCCCATCCTATCTCTGTTCTCTGTTAAGCCCTCCAGTGAATTTTCCATTTCAGTGATTTTTCAGTTATACAATTTTCAATTGGTTCTTTTTTATATTTTCATTTATTTGTTAGTTTTTCCTTCTGTTCTCTTCAGACTCTTTTTCTTTTAACATATTTTCCTTTAGTTCTTTGAGCATATTTATGAGAGATATTTGTCAGCTAAGCTTTTGGGATTGTTTCCTGTTGACTCCTTATTTGTTGATAATGAGCCACATTTTCCTTTTGGCCTTTCTAGTAAGTTTTCAATTACTTAATGGTCCTTGTGAATATGCGATAGAGACTCTGAAATTTGTTATTTTTCTTTGGTGAGTGTTGATTTTCATTCTAATAAGCTGACCAAGTACTTTGTAACCATCTTTAATTTGTGCAGGCTTAGTTTTATGCTTTGTAAATGTGGATGTGTGAAAAGAACAAGGTGTTTTCCCAAGTCCTTTTAATTGGCAGGACTGAACCTCCAAACTCCGTTTGCTTTTTCCAGGGAAATTTGTGGGATTTCTCCACTCTTGTTTTGCTGGAAAGCAAATGTCCCTCCAATGCTGTTAAATCCCTAGTATGTCTGTTCTAGCCACCCCATAGCAGTTGCTTTCTAGTAAACCTTGGGTACTTTGGATAGTACAGCCTTTCCCCAGGCACTCACATGATACATCAAGGGACCTCTGTATGTACAGCTCCTTGCTTTCCTATTTCCTGCTCAGCACAATCCAGGTGCTGCATCTTTCTTGAACTCTGGTCTCTGCCTCTTCAACTCAGCAGGACCACTGTGCTTTGCATAGTTGATCACATGATAAGTGGTGGTTGGGATATTGCCTTCCATAAGAGTATCTTGAGCAATTATGGGTTGACTTGGTGAACAACTCTTCTTTTGGGGATTGTATTATTTTATAAGATCTGAAGACAGTTGCTTCATATATTTTGCCAATGTAATGGTTGTTTGAAGTGGGAGTGCTAACTGGTACCAGTTACTCCATCATGGTCAGAAGTAGGTGATCCTGAGTAACATATGTCTGTATGTAATATTTAACTCTAAGTCTTGTCTGTCTTGATTTGTTCAAATCAATTCAACAAATAAAATTTTTTACCGGAGTTTTGGAAGGGCAGAAAACTCTATAAAGAGGTACAGCATTGGATGGTTTAATACAACTTTATTGCATTTTAAACTTCATCTGAACTGCATAGAATGATGATTCTTCCATATATTCCCTGGAGAAGATATGAGCATCCCTTTGGCTTATCTTATTTTCTTTAGTATAATACTGACTTATTCTAACTGTGGATCTTTAATGAGCTAAAAGTGTTAGTTCTAAAGAGAACTAAAAATATTACTTGTTGACTTTTCCTGGAAATAGAAAATTAATGGTAAATAAAAAAAACTTTTTGGGCCTCCCGGTGGCGCAGCGGTTGAGCACTGGGTTGCGAAGCTGCCCGCAGCCTCTGCAACGCCGGTTCGATCCCCAGCTGCTCCCCGGCCACCGGAGGAGGGTCCCGAATGGTGCGCAGACCTCTCCTGCCGCCCGCTGCTCCCCTCAGCAGTGTACTTCGGTCCTTCTGCCTGCTCTGCTCCCCGCTCTGGCTCTGGTGAATTCTCTCACCCTCCCGTGCTTCTGACTGTACCCAGTGCTTGTATTTATAAACAAACAAACAAACAAACAAACAAATAAATAAATAAATCTTAAAAAAAATAAATAAAAATAAATCTTTTAAAAAAGTCTAAAAAAAAACCTTTTTGCAGACATTAATTCATTCATCAAGTAGTTTGTGTCTACTTTATTTCCCACGCTGACATTTTGCTTGGCACTGAGGGTATAGTGGAGAATATAACAGGCATGGGTAATCTTTTGTTCAGTTTATATTCTAAAATGGGAGACACATAATGGCATCTGGTAGGGAGAAAACAAATGAAGTCAAAGGTAGAGAACCGTGAATTCCTACTTTGGATAGTGTGTCTTTCCTTTGAAGAATTTATATTTCATTTGAGTCAAAAAGGAGCTAGTCGTCTTGGGGGACAGGAAACTAGTGACAAGAATTAAAAAGGTGTATGCAGGTTAGATCACTAAGCTCTGACTCTGTAGACTGCCTCCTTCCTCCAGCACTCAGTGGGGTGACCATGTAATTTCTTATACAAAAAACTGGCATACTTCTGAGTTGAAAGGAGGACCAACTGGGTGGGACACTATGTCCACAGAGATACGACCCTGTTCTAGGGGACACAACCTAATTTGGGGTATACATGTATAGAAATGTCATGGATTTGGATGCAGACTGCCTTTGACTCTTGACTCTGCTCACTATCTGTATAGCCCTCTGGAAATTAATTTCTCTAGGTCTCAAATTTCTCATTTGTGACTTGAGGAAGCATTTCATTAGGATTGTGATGAAAATTAAGTAAGATAATACATTTATCAAAACATACTATGACTTACATAGTAAGCACTTACTCAGTAAATTCGTACTTTTAGCAAATATTTATTGAAAGATTACTGTGTGCCAGGAATTATATTAGGCATTGCGGATTAAGCAAGCAGTGAACAAAACAAAAATCCTTGCCTTCATTGGGTTTACATTCTAGTGTGGAGAGAGAGTAAAATAAATAAGTAAAAAAGTAGGATGCAGAATGGTAAAATAAGTACACTGAAGCAAAAACGAAGAAGAAATTTGGAATAGTGAATGGCAGCAGAGAGGGACGATGAATTGCAAGTTTTGTTTCACCTCATTGAGATAGATTATTTGAAGAAAGTGAGGAATTGCTGTGATTCCAGGCAGAGGAAGCAGCACGGGCAGCACATGTGGAGATGAGAATATGCAGAGAACAGCTGTTAGGAATTTTTAGGCAGAGCAGTGACAGGAAATAGTCTTTGTTTTAGAAGGAGTGAGAGTGACAACAGGGCAACTAGTTGCGGCTATTGCAGGTAAGTGAATTAAAAGCCATTAGACCAGGGCAGTATCAGTAGAGGCAGTTAGAAATGGTTGTGTTCTAAATGAGTCTGAGGTAAAACTGACATGACTTGCTGAGTTTGATTATCTGTATGAGAAAAAGAGAGTAGCCAAAGATTTTTAGCTGAGCACCTGGAAAGATAAAGATGCCATTTATTTCAGGAGCATCTCTGGGGAGGGTGGTAGGAGAAATACTTTCAGGAATGAAGAGTTGCGATTCAGTTTTGGATATCTGCTAAACATCCAAATATAAATAATCAGTTATGAATTATTAAATCCCAGTAATGTTAAATCCCATGCATTAAATATTTATTGACTCTGTGGTAAAGAGTTTGTTACTTTCTATTCTAGGATTTAAATTGTGGTCAAAAATAAACATTGTCCTTTTATGGAATTTATCATATAATAAGGGAAGAAAGGAATTAATCAAATAATCATATTTTGGTAGTTTTTCCCTTTAAAAAAACCTTGTAAGGGGCCTCCCCTGGTGGCGCAGCGGTTGAGCACTGGGCTTCAAGGCTGCCCGCAGCCTCTGCAGCACCGGTTCGTTCCCCGGCCACCGGCAAGGGTCCCACAAAAAAAAAAAAAAAAAAAAAAAAAAAGGCCTTGTAAGTAGGATACCCAAAAAGTGTTGACTTCACAAAATTACAAGTATCTCCTTATATTTAAATTTATTAGGTTCTTATATTCAGATAGTGAGGGATACATGTACATGTCTTGTAAGTTTCTCATTTAACAAATCTTATTCTTAAACTTGGCTAATCAGCATGAGGCAGTGAAGTTTCATGTATTCAGCTTTATGATCTAGGTGAAATGAGACAATCACATATAAAGGTATACTTTTTTTAAAAAAAAAGATTTATTTATGCATACAAGAACTGGGGTACAGGCCAGAAGTGTGGAGGGTGAGAGGATTCAATTCACCAGAAATAGAGTGGGGGGCAGAACAGGTAGACTGACTGAAAACACTGCTTAGGGGAGCAGTGGGTGAGGCAGGAGAAGTCTGCTATGCCATGTGGGCTGCTCCCTGACTGGGGATCGAACTCGTGCGACAGTGGCTGTGGAGAGCTTCACAGGTTGTGTCTTAACCCCCCACGCCACCAGGGAGGCCCCAAAGGTATAATACATTTCATGAACTATTTAGATTGGAATTTTCTTCTTTAATTCATTCACAAGTGTTATGCTTTTACTTTTTGTTAATTAGCTAGGATCATTTTGTTTTATAGCTAAAGTCTTTAATACTAGCATTATTGCATGATCTATTCATCTTTTTCTTATAAAATTAAAGTATTATTTTGTATTTTAAAAAACCTACAGGTTCGTCATAAGGCTTCACAGAAGGTTTATGCTATGAAGCTTCTTAGTAAGTTTGAAATGATAAAAAGATCAGATTCTGCTTTTTTCTGGGAAGAAAGAGATATTATGGCCTTTGCCAACAGTCCCTGGGTGGTTCAGGTAAGCATACTAATTTTTGTAAGTTTATTTCCTTCTTTAAAACAAGTGCTTACTATTCATAAGAATTGATTTTGTACCCTAAAGTCCTGTATCTAATTCATATAACGACATTGCAGTTATTTTTAATAAGATTTCCTCATTACACTTGTTTAGTGTTCCCAACTGGTGTGTCGCATAGATATGTAGTACTTACATTGGTGACTGGAAGCAACTACTGGTTACGACGTTTTCTTTTCTAAGTCTACTCCTTGGCCCCTCGTGATTTATGTGCTAAGGAAAAAAACTTCCTATGGTACAACTTTTGAACATTCCTCTATAGTCCTTTGTTATCCATAATGTAAGACAGGATGGCGATTCCTGACGCAGTCTCTCTTTAGGCTGTGAAGTAAGAAATTGATGAATCTATGTTGCCTTCTTTTCATTTGTATTCCTCACTACCTTTGCTTCTCTCGGGATTATTTTTACACTAGTATCTAATCCTGCAGACTTTTTTGAGCCAGTTCCATGAGTAAGATTAGCTGTGTACTTGTGATGTCCAGAATGCTTGAAAGATGTAGGGGCTTGTGTGGATAGCCATTCTGAGAGAAAAAAATCTGCCACATTTTTCAATGTGTAATTCAGAAGTTTGTTACTGTTGGTTTTTAACTGATGTTGAGCCTCAGCATTTCTCCTCTCCACTTAATGTTTTTTATTGTAGCCAGTGAAGAGGAGTTTTGATCTGTGCACCTGAAACTAAAATTTTTGTAGCAAATTATATAATACGATATTTTACTTGCTTGAGGAACGATGGTCCTAAGTTATTTCACGTTTAGCTTTGCAGGGCTCCTGGTGATAGACTCATTGCCATTTCTTTAGTTGGTGTCTCTGACCTCTGATTCTGCTCAGTGGCCTTTGCCAGTGGTACCGATCCGTAGAGTTCATGGAGCATCCCAGGCAAACCAACAGGGGAACAATGGACAATTGACGATTGAAAAAGTGGTAGATTATAAATTCTGGCTTTCATATGTTTATCTCTGTGGTAAAGGATATTCCATGCACTATTACATGTATGAAATTGCTTAGGAAAATTTGTTAAAATGACTGATTTATTTCTATTTTATTATTCAGTGATGTTTAATATATTTGTAGAATGGTGCAGTCATCACGCTACCTAATTTTAGAATATTTTTATCACTTCAGAAAACATCCCTAAACTAATTGGCACATTATTTTCCAGCCCTCCCTGACATTGTATTTACCGGTTTTCCAAGTAAGGCATTTGTTTACTCTTACTCTCTGAAAGTGAGCAATGGGGAGGGGACAGTATGAGTTTGAACCCACGGACTTAAAACCTATTTGATGTGTTTCAGTCCTTTGAACATCTTATTGATGCTCAAATTCTGACATTTCTGGCCAGTAGGTTCTGAGGTAGAGTCCCTAGTTCTTTTGACATAGCCCTGGTAGTCTTTGATAGCTTGCTTGCTAGCTCCTGCGATAGGGTGTTTCAGACCTACCTTACGTATTTTCAGCCCTGGATATGAAATTAACCATGCTTGTAGGTCCATTTTTTGTATGTGTGAATATTTCTTAAGAAATAGGTCGCTGGCATTGTAATTGCTAGGTTGTATGGTATGCACCTTTGACATTTGGATTGATAATTCCCAGTTGCCTTGTTGCGGGGGAAAAAAAAAAAAACTTTACAAGTTTACAATATTCTAATTGTGCAATAGATGTTTTATTTCACTACAGTTTTACAGATACTAAATATTGTAACTGTTTAAAAATTTTATTTTAAATGTCCTTGAGAAATAAGATGTGGAGTTAGGTTGCATGTCCTTGATTACTAATGATAATAATGCGTCCGTTTACACAATTCATATGTGTAGGGTAAGGAAAAAATGTCAGGCTTTTCTGCCCTCCAGCCATCAGGAAAAATGATGGATCCCTGCGGTCCTGAATGCAGGCCTGATGGCGGGCACCTGGAGTAGGGTGTGGGCCTAGGTAGATGGGATTCACCAGGGCTGAGACTGGGCTTTTAAGGGTGGCGTCACCGGGACGCCAACAGCAGCCTAAAGAGAAGCCGAGAGAGCAGCAGCAGAAGCCGAAGAGATGCCGAGATCACCGGAGGGCCCAGATAGAGTGAGGATTTGCTGGGGGCTGGGAGGACTGCCAGCCTCCCGGCCCCCCAGCACCCCTGCCTGCTGTGTACTGGGTAAACCCCAATAAAAACCTGCAAAAGCCACTGAGGGCTCCAGGACTCCTCCTTTACCTGGTCTGCTGGATCAGAAAACCTGCACTGTGTCCATTCCTGCCTTACAAATATGCTGATTAGTAATTTGTATTCCAGCTCCATTGCTTGTCTCAGTTTTTTGATGTGTTTCGTTTTTTTAAAAATTGATTTGTTAGAAATGCTAGCAGATCCTGGTTAACCCTTTATGTTGGAAATGTATTCTCTTGGACTGTTATCTTTTGTTCATTGATTTTTAAAATTTAGATGTAATCAAATCTGTAGATTTATTCTGGTCCATTTGTTACAGTGAATGAACCAATATAGATTCATTATTATTAACTAAACTCCATAATCTATTCTGATTTTCTTAGTTTTTACCCACTGTCCTTTTTTTGTTCTACATTACATTATCGTGTTTGCTTAGGCCCTTCCTCTGCTGTGACAATTTCTTCGACTTTCCTTATTTTTGATGGTCTGCTTTGAGCATTACTTGTCAGTTATATTGTGGAATGTATATGTTTTTCTGCTGGAATTTGTCTGATATTTTTCTCATTTATGGTTGTGGGCTTTTGAGAGAAAGAGAGGTAAAGTACCATATTCATCTATATTGATTGCAAAGTTTAAATGGATATTGAGAGATGGATATTTCCTTTGCCTTTACATTGGGGTACAAAAAAATCTGCTGGAATTGTGGAACTATGGTTTGAGCTCAGAAAATATATTCACTGCAGATTTGTATAGAAATGGAAATCTCACTTGTTTTAAGTTTTATAGTTTGGGAATTGCATAAAGCAGCTTGTTAGTTGTCACCCAGATGATCGTAACACAGTTTCAGTTTTGCATTAAGTGCTATTTTGCCTGTAATTTTGGTTGTATTGATCAAGAAACATCATCAAGTCTGCAGCTACTGCCAACTTCCAGTGTTGTTCAGTGTTTGATAATAGTTGGTGAGGGTGGCTGTTTTTTTTAATTGAGGTAACATTAATTCACAACACTGCGTAAATTTTCAGGTGTACAACTTCTCATCTCAACAGCTGTACTGTGTATATCTCTCACACCAAGGGATGGTTCTTCTTGATGAGAAAAATTTCCATCTCCACTCGGAGTTCAAATAATTGCAGTAAAATTGAACTGTGGTGCGATAGAGTCAGGATATTCAGTTCCTATTTCTGACCAAAACGAAATCATGGAACTGATGTCTAAGTCCACAAAAGCAAATGATGTCATCAACATTACTTGTTTATTAACACGTGAGAGATTCAAATGTATTTTCCTCAGGGTGTCTGTTGATCTGTGTCATAAAGAATAACCATGGACTTTAAACATCTTACATTTTCACAAGGCTTTGTAAATGCTCCAGATACGATTTTACCACCATCTCTTACAGTACACCTTACCAGAGTCTACTTCAGGTTGTACTGAATTAGTACTTTCAAAACTTCTTTGAAAACATTTTGCCTGGAGTTCATCTTGCAGGCTGTTTGTAGAGGATAATTCTTAACTCACTTCAAACTTGCCACTGAGTCTTCCAGTGAACAATAGTGAATGGTATTGGTAACATCTGTTGTCTCACGGAGAGCCAAGGACAACCACTCAGAATCCTTCGCCTTTTTTCAATTGACTATTGATATTATTCCCAGTGTTCTCAACTCGGAGCAGCTGTTGTTACTGAAGGGCTAATAGTCTTAAATTTATTTTCTCTAGACACATTTCTTTGACTGCAACAAAGACAGTTTAATTCACCACTGGTAAAATGGCTTTCTTTGCTTACCTAACAAGCCATCTGGAAAGTTTCTTTGATTTCAGTCCACACATACTTAGCAAACCTTAACATTTCACTATAATTAATTTTAAACTGCTAAAACATCACAAGAACTTTTGAATTACTTCCTATTCTCCTACCATTCTATCCTCCCCCCCCCCCCCCCATTTGGGAGAGAGCTCCTGGGGCTCAGGCCCTAGTGGCTGGCAATAGATGGAAAACGCTGAGACCTCACCCCGCGCCACCAGGGAGGCCCCATCCTACTGCTCTTCTCCAGTTCCTTCATCTGCTTGACTTATTGTCAGCCCTTATTTTCCCATTAAGTGTCTCTTTTTGAATATTGTATTCTGACAAGATCAGGAGAGATGCTTATAAACACATTTGAAGTTATAAATTTCTCTTTGAGTTCTGTTTTAAAAAATGATTTTGTGACAATGCAAAAAAATACATAAAACAGACAGTAAAATGATTTGTCACTACCCAGCTTGAAATATGAACATTGTACCACCCTCAAAATCCCTTGGCACTCTTTCCCAGTCATTGCCTCTGTGTACCCCAGCAAAGGAACCCCTCTTCTGACTCTATTAGTAATAATTTATTTGCTTACTTTTCTAGTTTACCACCTAAACAAGCTCGCAGAAACTACAATTTTCTTTTCTATTGAAGTTTATATTAGTGAAACAGTTGACTCCTTTGTAGCTTTTTTGTTCCACATGTTTATTATGAATTATCCAGATTGCTAGAATTTATTAATTTTGCTGCCTTATTTTCTTCCCTTGTATGTCTATACCACATTTTGTTCATATACTTAGCAAATTGTTTTGAGATTTATCTATAATGTAACATATCGTTCGTTCATTTTTATTACTGAGCAGCACTCCCTTGTATGGATATATGACAGTTTGTTCATTTATGGACATTCAGGTTGTTCCTAGTTTTTGTCTCTTATGAGTAAAATACATGATTAAGTTATTTGCAAATCAGTTTGTACAATTCAGTGATTTGGGGGAAATTTAGAGAGTTGTGTCC